GAAAGTCTCTCAATGTACTAACCTTGCTCTTTGACTTCTGTAGTCCCGCATCTAGCTAACTGTTCTTGTTAACTGAAGTATGTCAACCAGGAACAAGCGAGAAAGGCTCAGCTCAGTGCTGTCCTGGGACCCTGAACACCCAGTGTACTTGCTGGCTGTTAAATACTTTCTATTGGCTTGAACTCATGTCTGAGCTGTCCTCTCCGGTGGACACCCCACATCAGGCTTACGGAAGAATATCCACTTCCTACTTTTATTTTTCTATTTTGATTAGATTTTTGGAAAAATGAGTTTATTAAATCATTCTAGAGATCTCTTCCTAGCTTTTTTTGCAACTCCTCCCAGGTCCCACGACCCTTCCCCTTTCCACCCAACTTTGTATCTTCCCCCTCCACCCCTCTCAAATGGTCAAGTTTGTGATGCTCATATGTTCATGTGTGTGAGGCCTCCCACTGGAGCATGCCCCCCAGTGGACAACACTCTTAGGGAAAGCAGACTGCCCCTGTCTCAGAAGCTATCAGTTGCCAATAGCGCCTCATGTAGGAGGTGCGAATTCCTGTTTCCCTCCCCTCCCCACACCGGGGCTTGAGTGTTCAGGGAGCTTGTGCATCCTGTCAACTACTGTGATTGACTATGTGCAGTTACCCTGTTGTTTCCAATGGACACTGGTCTTTGTATTTGTCTTCTTCCTCTGGCTCGTAAAGTCTTTCTGCTCTCCCACCGCCATTCCACAATGATCCCCGAGCTTCGGGAGGAGAGGGTGCAGTATAGACGTTCCAATTAGGGCTGAGAATTCTCTGCTCCTTGACCAAGTATGGATCTCTGTGTTAATCACCATATGCTGCAAACCAAAACTTCTCTGTTGAGCAAATTCACTCATGTATGGGCATGAGTACTTAACGATGGAAATACATCTCTTAAAGTTAGTGTCGGCTCTGGAGTTTCCTAGTCTACCTCCCAGTCTGTAAGCGAGGGTGACCTTCCTCTCTGTATTTGTTCCCACACCGGAGATATCCCTGTATGGCTGGACTCCAGCATAGCTGACCTCCCCCACTCTGAAGTGAGTTTAACTATCATCAACTATCCTCATGTGGGACTCAGAAAGCATCCCACGGATCCCGGAAGATTCCCACATCACTCCCACATTCTTACCCTCCTTGTTTTCTCCTATCCGGGCTACAGCCATGTCTTATTCTTGTTTGTTTCTTCGGATTTTGTTGAAACTCCACAAATGTTATTTTGTGATCCTGAGGACCGAACCTAGGATTGATTGCCAAAGACGGGAGGAGAAAAACCAAGGGCCCAAATCATGGTGATCCAATGAATTAAAGCAATTTTAAAAATTCATGTGCAGGGGTTACCTCCCCCTAAGCTGGGGTTCGGGAGGTCGGCCTGGGATGTGAGGAAGACAAGGCTTTTATAGTTCAGGAGTGAGGAGTTTCCAAATGGGGGGGGTGGGCAAAACAGGCAAGGTTACGGGCATAGAATATAAGCCTAACACGTCAGTCCCACTGAAACAAAGACATGATTGCAAGGTGGACACAAGAGAGTCATTGTTAGGCTAGAACTCCTGACCAGCTGTGCACAAACCCCATCTGCTCTCCTTCCCTCAACCATGCCCACAGGCAGAAAACAAAAGACTAGCAGGTTATCACCCATTGTCTCCCACCAAGAGTGCCCTCCCAGGTGTTTAGTTTTTGACATATATGGGCATGATTCCAGCTCCTGGTTGACACGTCATCACTCCATGCCTAAGCTCTATGAAACCCCCTTGCTTTAGCCTTGGGGCATGTCTCTACTGACTTCCTCATGTGAGACTGAACCTGCCCAAGAGCTATCTCCCAATGAACCTGCTTTATATTCTTGATTTGGCTTGAATTAGCTTATTGCATCTGCGCAAAAATAACAAGGTAGTTGTAGGTGGTCATATAACCTTTTGAAACAAAGGTAGGATTGCAAGATGATTATAAAAACCTTTTGAAACAAAGGCATGATTCATTCCTGGAATAGGCAGTGTAGAAACATCTGTAGTTAAGTTTATATTAGACCTTGGAGTGGGCCCATTTTCTTTATTTTATTTTTCATTTTTTAAATATTAGTTACAGTTTATTATCTTTGTATCCCAGCTGTTTCCCTTTCATTCCCTCCCAATCCCACCATCCCTCCCTCACTCCTCCTTGCCTTTTTCCAAGTCCACTGATGGGGAGGACCTCTTCCCCTTTCATCTGACCCTGGTTTATCAGGTATCTTCAAGACTGGCTGCAAAGTCCTCCTCTGTGGCCTAGCAAGGCTGTTCCTCCCTCAGGCGTGGGGGGAAGTCAAAGAGTCAGCCATTGAGTTCATGCCAGAAATACTCCCTGTTCCCCTTACTAGAGTACCCACTTGGATACTGAGCCACCATGGGCTACATCCGAGCAGGGGTTCTAGGTTATATCCATGTATGGTCCTTGGTTGGAGAAACAGTCTCATAAAAGACCCCTGTATCCATATATATTTGGTCCTTGTGGAGCTCCTGTCCTCTCTAGGTCTTACTAACTCCCCCTTCTTTCATATGATTCCCTATACCCTGCCGAAGGTTTGGTTATGAGTCTTAGTATCTGCTTTGGTACACTGCTAGGTAGAGTCTTTCAGAGGTGAGAAGGCCCATTTTCATGGCTGTCTGATGAAACAAGTTTTATTCAGACTAGCCAGTTGGTCGCCTTTCTCCAAATCGGGATTTCAGGGAGTAGCTCCTCAATGGTTTCTGAGGTTCCTATTATGGGGAAGGGAAAGTGTGTGACAGAAAACAGCTGTTAAGATAATTAATTCTCTGTTAGGTGTCTAGACAGAAAAGTGGAGGACTTAGGGCTCAGGGATGCCTATGGGGTAGAGAAGTGTGGTAGAAAACAGTGGTCAGTATAACTAGCTGTTTAAAAGGAGGCAATAAAAATAAGTGCAAGAATACATCTTTGGAAGGGGAGTCATGAAAGTATCTGGGACTCCAGCATTTTCATTAGGCAAAAGGGCAACTGTGTATCACAGGTTCAGGAATTTATCAAGACAAAGGGGTAGGCATACATCACAGGGTCACAAGTTCACTGTGGGTTGAAAAACATGGTCTGCAGGGTGTGAGAGGCTTATTTTTGTAAGGCTTGGAGACATAATAACAATGTATAACAATGTGGCTCCTGTTTTGGTTTCACAGTTACAGGTGGGGCATAGCTCAATCTTTGAGAAACAGAGTTTAAATCGTGGACACGAATGAACCTTTACTATGCCTTTACTATAAGATGGCTCTTAAGTCTAACCTGGAGGCAGGCTGGTTCTTTAAGACTTTAAGCATCTTAAGCAAGTGCCTGTCCACTGACTGGTGTCTGCAGGCCGCCATAAATATCCTAGAAGTGGTTTTCAGTTACTGTGTTTGTATTTAAAGGTCTCTAGCAGGCTGAGCGAGGCAATCATGACTCTGACAGGTGTGGCCTTTCTCTCCCATTTCCCCTGCCTTGCTAAACCTTTAGATTACATTCCTAAAGGTAACCATCAAGGTCCACTTCTTTATTTGGCTACTTCCTCCTCCTGAGGTTGACTACCAAGGTCCAGCTATGGAAGTATTAGAGTCCAGAAATCAAAAGTCTTCCCCCTTTGGGCTTACCTATTTAACATCTATGCATACCCTCTGGGGCAAATAAATCTCCTGAGAACTTAGTCTTGGGGTGTTTTGTTCCAACTTTGAGGAGCTCTCATCATTTTCATGTCCACTCCATATTGTTTCTCCACCCTCACTCCTGCAGAAAATTACTGTTTAAAAGTTCATAAAGACTAAGATAAATTAAAAAAATGTAAAATTCAAATGTACATCCAAAAACGTAATATATATATAATACTGTTAATACTCCATATAAATTTCAACCTAATTTCTCTCAAGCTTCTAAACAGTTCTAGATGAAGGTGTTTAAAAATTATTGGAAAGTGGGTTTGGGGAGAAACCTGTGGAAAACCAGGGACGGCATTTCAGGGAAAACGGAGTTGTGTGACAGACTGTGGGGGAGATGCAAGACACTTGCCTGTTCACCCCAGAAAGGGAAGCCAGCATACCCAAATAACAATTACTTCAGTGTCTAACTTGTTGAACCAATGAGTGTTTATTGGGGCTCCTAGCAGGGATGTGGGAGAAGGGTTACTTACAAGGAATGCACAATCGCATCACTGAAAAGGCCACACATTAGGAGGAGGCAAGGACTCGTTTAAAGCGGCAACCCCGAGCTCTCTACATACTTCCAAGCACCCCAGCAAACCAAATCTTTCCGGTGCTCTTCGGCGGTTAGTCTCCAACAGCGCCCACCCCCAACAATGTTTACTGCTCTTTATACTGCTGAGAAGCTGCCCTCAAGAATCTTCCAAGTTTCCCCCGGACTCGGGACCTTTATTTACCTTCTGTGGCTCCTTCTTTCCTCTCCACCTGCACTCCCTGTCACCCCTGGAGGGAATGCTTCCATTTGGATGGAAATGCCTTTCGTTAAAAACCGAGTCACGTTGAGCTTTGAGTCGGACACTTCAAATTGCCATGTTCCTCAAAATCTGCAAAGCAAGAAAAGCTACGCTGCGGCAGGCCTCCTGGTCTGGGGCAGAGTCTACTGAAGGGGTGAAGTGGGGTTCCGAGCACAAAGTATCAAAATAGGAACTGCGCAGAACCTTTCGGATTCTAGACCGGTGCTCAGAGATTCGGTGAACTTGGTTGATTTTAAAGAACAGGATGGAACTTGAACGATAGGCTTGGGGGTGGGACACAGTTCATCGGGGACCTGCTGAGAATCGGGTGTCTGACTAGGGACCCATGAGCCATCACAGCCGCGGGCGCTGTCAGGATCCACGCGTAGGAGCTTAAGGAGGTCCAAGTGATGGTCCGCCCTGGCGGGAGTGCGGTGTGAGCCTGAGTCGCAGCTGCTGGTAGCTGGCTAGAGGCCGGGCCACACGCTCCTCCCCTGTCCCTCCCACACAGCAAGCAGAGAAGGGGAGGGTCGAGTGTAAGGGTGGATTTTAAGAGGCCGGGTGCTCAACCCACCTCTGAGCTACGCTGTCCTCCAGTGAAAACGACTGTCCGGAATCCTGCGGTGCTAGGATCTGGATCGCCCTGGTGGCGGCATTGGTACTCCCAGGACCCCGGGTACCCGGGAGTAACAGCCGAGTAAGCAGGTGAGGAGCCCTAGGAGAGCGTGGGGCTTGAGCTGTGGGCTTGAGTGGGGCTACTGAGCGGCCCGGAGGGAGGGCGGGCTGGAACCACAGCTCCCGCTCTCCGGTTTGGTCAGGGACTGACCTCGGAGGACCCCAGAAACAGGGGCCGCAGAATTGTTGCTTGGAGTTGATGGATTGCCTCCAAGAATTCAGTATTGAGAGGGCGGCTGGTGAAAATGAGCAGCAGCGAAATGTTTTGTTCTTAGATCACTTTCTGGGACGCGCGCGCGCGCACACACTTGCTAATGAGGAGTATTCCGGGTCTAAGAAGTCTGCGAATAGTAAAATAAAGATAAAGCAATTCTGCTACTGCTTGGAGCATCCTGCTGCTGGCCAGGTGAACTGCTGCTTAGTCCACCCTTAAGGCTGGATTTTTACAAGGCCAAGCAAAACTAGAAAACATAGCATGATCCTCTTGCGGCTTCCTTTTGGTCCATGGTAGTCACTCCCAGATTGGGGAGGGGGCGAGAAAGAATAGATGGATGGATAGGTGTACCAGGCTCTTACTCACGCAGGAGCTGTCACCTCTAAAGGGCAGTCTGGTTTGGGCGGCACACATTACCAAATCAGACTTACACAAATTATCTCTGACCCAAATGAGAAGGCAGAGCTGGGCACTGGCGTAGGAGCAGGAGCGGGCCAAAAAAATACATTCCCTGAAGCAGGGATGCTGGCAAGCAAGTTTTGCAGTCACACTGAACTTCTGGGTCAGAGTACCAGAGTCAAAACAAAGAGAAGGCCTGGAGGGTACTGGAGAGCTGCCAGTACCCAGGTGTTGTTGTTTTGTTTTTGTTTTCTTACCGACATGATCCTGGTAGACTTATAAAGGAGACAATCTGCTGCTTTAGCATCCTCAGAATGCCAGCTTCAGCTCCTTGCCATGGGGAATGGAGGGGTGGTTTTCCTTCCTCAGACATTTGTGCACAGAACCTGTTCCTCACCATGTACTGATACTATCCTTGAAGTGGTAGCTTGGTGTGTCATTCCAGACTGTCACTGGCCTCAGTGACAATGAGGCTGAAGGCTCAACATACTGAGCCAAGGATTGCTTGTGAGGAGGGATGCTAATGAGTCTCAGCCACTTGTTGAGCAAGTGAGAAATTCCCTGTGAGCTGTTAAAGGGCTGGTTCAGGTTTCCCTCACAGCCAGGCAGCTAGCCTTTCATTTCTTCTTCATCTGCACACCTAGGTCATAAGGAACACATAGGAACCTAACTGACCCCCCACCTCTGTTTGTAAACAAAACAACTGAACATCTGCTTTGAGACTGCCTTAGCATACAGCATTAAGAGAAGGCCAATGGGGTACTTGGAATAGGAGTCCCTGGGAAGGACTTCCTCAAGCCCTTCTTTGTCCTTATCTTTTTGTTACCCAGGCTGCGTTCAGACTTGCTATATATCTTGAGATGAACCTTGACTTTCTGGCTTTGTTGTCTTAATTTCCTGAACTGTGAGCTCACAGGCCTAAGGCGCCCCTCCTGATCCATGAGGCACTGGGGATGAAGGCACTCTACCAACTAGCCTTTATTTCCCCATCCTCATAGCGTATCATTTTTTACTATTTTATTTTATGTACATTGGGTGCTGCCTGTAAGACTTTTCACCATGTGTTTCCAGTGCTGGAGAGGGGCAGAAGAGGGGCACCATATCCCCCGGAACTGAAATTACAGATCGTTGTGAACTGCCCATGTGGGTGCTGGGAATTGAACCTAGGTCCTCTAGGAGAGCAGCCAGTGCGCTTAACCATGGAGCCATCTTTCAAGCAGCCTCCCCCCAACTGCCCCCCCCCCAGCTCAATGTGTTAAACCTGCCATTATTTCATGATTCATGATGATGAACCTGGATTGACCCACTGACCCTAGAAAACCACGGAGATAGTTCCATCAAGCCTGGATGAGGAAGTATTGAATAAAGAGAAGCTGAATGAGGGAATCTTTACTTGTAAATTAGGTTGCTCTAGAATTTTTGAGGAAGCTCAGTGGTCTGCTGGCAGGGACAGAAGGAAAGTCCCTACCCCTTTTCTCTATCAAGTCTCAGCCAGCTGTGTCCCACCAGCCCTGCTACTGTGATAAGTTTTATAAGAGACTCATGGTAACAGAACAGACTCCCATAGACTTGCAGGGCTTTTGTTTTTCAGTGAACTTAGCAGCCGAGAAGGAGAAATAAGACTATAAGAATACTCGTATTAGCTGGTAGTTAATTCCTAGAAAAAGTTGTGTTCATTCATTCGTTCATTCGTCCATGTCAAAACCTTTCTTGCTGGATTCGGTGGTACAAAGTCTGTATTTGCAGTGCTGGGGAAACTGGAGCAGGGGGATCTTACACATTCATATTCCGCTTGGGCTATGTAGCGAATTTAAGGCTGGCTTGAATTACATAGAAAGATCGTGTCCCAGTGAAAATAACTGAGGGCTGGGCTGATAGTTCAGTGGTAGAGAACTTGACTAGCTTGTGCAAAGAAAGCCTGGTTCAGTCTTGAACTCTGAAACAGACAACACATTTTTCTCTCTTCGGAAAATCAGAAACCATTAGATGAACCATGATAACTGTAAAGACACAGAGGCTAAACCAATAGCAAATTTAATCCTAAAAGTTGAACATGCTCCAAAAGGTAATATTAGAAACTGGGAATGGAAAAACATGTTGGAAAACTTTTCAGAGGACAGGCTGGTCTTGGATCAGGATAGGACGGTGCAGATGTCCAGGAGTGCACAGATCTGTTGAATGGAAATCTCCATGGGGAAACAGAATTCCCCCGAAGGGCCCTGACAAGCACTGAATCGCTTTCCCTTAGCGAAGCATTCTCTCTCGCAAGAGGCTCTGCAACTTCCCTGGTTGATGGCTAAGTCAGAGAGGAGGGCTTTGAAGTTGTTTACTAACTAGAACAGGGGTGACCTTCCCATGACAGGACAACTCACTGCCACAAGACGCAACCCTATTTCCTTCCTCACTTACTTCGAGGTGCAGCTTGCAAGAACGAGATGTCCTGCTTTAGAAGAGGGGCCCCTTCCTTATTTGCCCCGTGTGCTGGAAAAATTTCTCCCACGACAGCCTGTGTGGGTTACATTCTCTTGCTTGAAGCCGTTAGGTATATAGGAGTGAATGTCTGAGTTTGATTCTGAGCTAGCTAGCCTGCTGGTTCAAATTGAGGACAAGATGTGGCCGTGATTCTGGGGCATATCCACCACATTCCCTTAGGATTGAGTTTGTGGGATGTCTTTAAGGGGGACGTTGCAATCTTGCCTTTGTCCACATACACTGTTCTTTTCCATTTTTTTTAAATTCGTGTGTGTAGTTTATGTCTCATGTGCACGCTCACGTGCAAGCCGGAAGCCAGTGTTGCCTGTGTTCCACTGGTATGCCCACCTTATCTTTTGATCCAGGGCCTCAGCTGAACTCTCAGCTCCCTTATTTAGCAAGACTGGCCGGCTGGGCAGTCTGCAAAACTTTCCTGCTTCCACCTTCCAGCGTTCAGACCACACGCCATCACACCCTGCTCTGTATAAGGGTTCTGGGGATCCGAACTCGGCTCCTCATACTTCTGCTGCAAGAACCTCACCACTGAGCCATCACCTCAGCCCCACGGGCTGTAGATCTATTTAGTTTGACTTCTGCGGTGTAGAAATGTTCACTTTCCTGCTATCCTTCAAAAATCAGTGAAAGCATCCCAGTTTTTCTTGAAAAGAGTCAAAAGTTGTAACATTTGGCTCTCTTTCCTTCGTGGAAGCAACCTACTGGTATGGATTGGTAATGTTCTTTTGTGGCTAGTCCAGTTGGCCGCACTCTGTATTCTGTTGCCTAGGTCTGCTTTCCTCATTTCAGTTACCTGTGGGCTTCCAGTCTTGACCTCGGGCCAGGGCTGCCGTGTCCAGCTTGCCTCACTTAATGCAGCATCCCCCTTTGGGAGAGCACAGACCCGTATCTTGCTAACTATGGAAAGCCTTCGTTTGGAGATTCAGGTAAATTCAGGGCCACCCTAGCAAACGGCCGAGACCGTCTGCACAGCACTGTATTTGTCATGAGCCGCCTGGGTTTTCCATGTTCCTTCAGCACCTACTCCTCTGACTTGCTTTCCTGACCCCACATCACTCAGGTTTCTGTTAGGTTACTGTATCTTTGCATGAACTCTCATTGGTTAAAATCCTTAAAGTGCCACCAGTTTAGTGAGAGGTGGTCCAGCAGGTACAGGGTTCAACGGGAGGCGGACTTTCCTTTCTCTAAGATGTTATTCTGCTTCAGTTATGCAGCCTGGGATGTCTTGAGGTTGTACTGGATTGGCTTGCTTCTTTCTTTCTTTCTTTCTTTCTTTCTTTCTTTCTTTCTTTCTTTCTTTCTTTCTTTCTTTC